CATCAGCTACTGATGCTTAAGGCATTGGGTGCCCCCCTCCTGGTGAGGCAGAGAATACCGGCATAAATAATCCTTTTCTTTTACAACACACATTATACAAAGCAATAAATAGACTTTGACAGTCGATTCTTTAGTAGTTATTCATAACATTTGTTCAAAATAACATGGGGGAGTAACTATTTTTATGCTTATAAATCACACACTGCCACAGCAGTGTCTACCATTTTTACACCCATCTTGCTATTTTTGCCTGTTTGAATAAAATAAAGATTTTGAACAAATGTACCCACTCAAATCTGAAGTGAAACCATAGAAAAATAAATAGTCTCAAAGACCAATATGAGCAGTCCACCAGGATCCTGAGCCCAACAACATGCTCCTCCAGAATTACCATGGCTAGTGATGTTCCCTCTGATACAATACTCTAGGCTCCGAAGCTTGCTTCAAACTCGGGAGGATAGTTTTCTGAAGCACTGTGCCAGAACTTGCTTCAAATCAGGAAAAACCACATGACTGATGACGTTTGAACCACTTCTGCTTCATTCAGATTGAATTAGCTGACTGGTTTGGTTCAACAGGTGGAGCTTTGAAACATTGGAGCGATACAGATGTATTTAAGATGGATGAAACAGCGCTCTGTCCTACGTCTTGTCAACACATTTTGGATTGACTCGCTATGGAGCCATCATGGAAACGGTCACAAGTGTGGGAACATTTTGAATTGGTACCACTGAATAAGATAAATTATATTCCCAAAATTCAAGCCTTATTGTCAAGTCTGTTATTAATACAATGGATGTCCAAGTTTACGGTCCCCTCCGAATAAACACAGGAAGAGTAAATCACACACTGATCTCACTGTGACTTCATAGGTGCAGTGTTTGCGCTGTCCTCAACAGCTGATGGATAACAACAACATGTCATCAATACCTGTTAATGCTACCAGGATGGCGTGTCCGTCCGCTAAGTGTGTGTGTGAGATGTGTGTACTCAGTCAGTGACAGAGCCACTCTGGCACACAACCTAAACACGGTTATACTTATAACACTTGGCTTTCACAATCCAGCTAATCCTGATGCAGCTGTGCGCCATTTTTACTTCTGCATACATTAGCTGAATGTATGTATTTCAGCTATTAAAATGTTCAGCTCCTCAAGGACATTCATGCATCTCTTCAGAAGTTTTCTAAACTTCAAATTTTTTAAATATTTAGCTTTAGACTTAAAATACATAGCTTTATTTTGAAAATCTTGCCCCATTTAAATGAATGGGAAAATTCTACTTCAGCATAATTTCAGCTATCAAAATGTTCAGGTCTTCGGGGACATTCATGCGTCTCTTCCGAATTTTTCTAAACTTCATATTTTTTAAAATTATTTAGCTTTATTTTGAAAATCATGCCCCATTCAAATGAATGGGAAAATTCTACTTCAGCATACTTTCACCTATTAAAATGTTCAGGTCTTCAAGGACATTCATGCTTCTTTTCAGAAAGTTTCTAAACTTCATACTTTTAAAATATTTAGCTTTATTTTGAAAATCTTGCCCCATTCAAATGAATAGGAAAATTCTACTTCAGCATACTTTCACCTATTAAAATGTTCAGGTCTTCAAGGACATTCATGCTTCTTTTCAGAAAGTTTCTAAACTTCATACTTTTAAAATATTTAGCTTTATTTTGAAAATCTTGCCCCATTCAAATGAATAGGAAAATTCTACTTCAGCATACTTTCACCTATTAAAATGTTCAGGTCTTCAAGGACATTCATGCTTCTTTTCAGAAAGTTTCTAAACTTCATACTTTTAAAATATTTAGCTTTATTTTGAAAATCTTGCCCCATTCAAATGAATAGGAAAATTCTACTTCAGCATACGTTCAGCGAGCAAAACCATTCAGATGTCAAAATGTTCAGCATTTTCAGGGCGATCTTTTAGCACTCAGCATCCATACGCATTTTCTTCATAAAATGCATTTCTCTAGTAAATAATTGGATAACATAGTATGGATGCTGAATCAGCATCCATACAATACAATAAAGACCAGGAAAACATGGTTGATACATCGATGCATTATAATGTGAGCGACCTACATTATATCTGGTTGGAAATGTGTGAATTAAACGACTGGTCTTAGTTTATGAACATGATGCAGTTGGTTTTAGGCTACCTCAAATGATTTCTAGTTTCAGTGAGATGCAGCCTGACCCTCCTCCCGCCCGTAAACGTGACACAAGTTAAGCGCACCGCGCTTCGCCATTAGCCAGTCAGCCGATCAAACGTACCCGGTTTCACAAGTCACGTTGACAATACACCACCTAGCCAACCAGCGAGCAGCTCCGCAGGGATACGAGCATATGACCACGCCCCTTCAGTGTTTAGGTTTCGTTTGATGGCGAGGAGAGTTTGCTGGGAGTCTCTGACATTAAGACTGCTTTTGTGTTTGCTTCATTTCGATCGGTCCTTCTGGGTTGTTTCCTAATGACGGCATAGTAACTAGTCATGGTGGTGAATTCGATGCACTGGTTTCGCAAAGGTCTGCGTTTGCACGATAATCCGGCGCTGCAGGAGGCCCTCAATGGAGCGGATACAGTGCGCTGTGTTTATATCCTGGACCCTTGGTTTGCTGGCGCCTCTGACGTAGGAATCAACCGATGGAGGTTTGTTAACCGCCTCTATCCATGATATGCTTAAGTTCAGTTAAACGTCGGCACAATGCATAATTAAGCATTTGTAAATTGCCATTTTCACGATTCATTGCATTATAAATGTGCAGCGCTCGAGGTTAGGCTTAGGCCTCTACTCCATGTCAGTTAGGTATGGAGAAATGGAGAAAGTGATATGCCAAAAGATATCACGTTAGGGAAAACTCACAATTGTATATTACTTGGTGAATCGGAAATGTGTCCTCATGTGTTTACTCCATATTTATCCAATCCGTTGGGCATTGGTCCCTGGTATATGCGGAATACATGTAAACTGCTGCACAGCTGTTAAAATGTCTACATGACGTACACAGCGAACAGGTCCGCGGTGTTAACCGTGGGCTAAACAGTTTTATCCCGGATATTCATACATTCAACGAGGCAAATCCTCCATAACTTTTAAAAGACTTAATCGACCATAGTCAAATGTTTTCCTGGGGCCAGAGCGGGCGACATTGAATCCTAGTTGAAGCTGCTGACTAAGGATAAGCGTAAATACAGTAAGGTTGTTATTCACGTCGGCGCTAATTCAGAAGAAAACCCCATTCAAAATCCCAGTGAGGTTTCTAATCTGGCTAAAGACTAAAATCCATACTTGGAACACAGCCGTTTTCAATAGTATTTTGTGAGTTTCACTACATTTGCTTATGCTTTAATGATAATGCAGTCAATTTATAGACTGTGTCTAGTCATTTTCCATGTGGTCTGGAACTCAGAGCTTCATGGCCCCCCAGCAACCTAGGCCTATAGCAGCACAACTAAAGGAAGGCTCAGGGTCACCTGATCCAGCCCTAAAGTTTGTCTAAGGCTATGAGGAGATCGTTGGTGACTTTCACCAGTGCAGTTTCTGTACTATGTGTTTCTATGTGCAGGTTTCTGCTGGAGGCTCTGGAGGACCTGGACAACAGTCTGAAGAAGTTCCACTCCAGATTGTTTGTAGTCAGAGGGCAGCCTACTGATGTTTTCCCAAGGCTTTTCAAGGTCTGTATTCCTGTCTTCTCTGTGTCTGTCAGGATCCAGCATTTAGACTGTGCAAACACAAGAGGTTCCTGACCAAAGATCCACACAGTACAGACTGAGAACTTCTTGTAACAGCCTTTCATCTGCTGACTTCTGTATTCACTCAAAATAAACTACTCAAGGTAGCAAAGTAGACCCCTGCCTGACACTAGCAGCTATTGTTTGAATGGTTTAAAGAACTGGTATAATGGCCCTTTCTGACATTTGTTTTTTAAATTTTTTAATAAGTACTGGGTGTATTTTAAACAATGCTCACAAGCTCATTGTAGGTGCTTTTGGCAGTGGACAGGGGTCAGCATGGGCACCAGTCTGTGGCTATGCATTCCCATATGCAGTAGGCTGCCATGCACTGTGTTCTGACACCTTTCTATCAGAACCAGCATTAGGATTTCCAGCAGTTTGTGTTACAGTAGCTCTTCTGTGGGATTGGTCAACACAGACTAGCCTTCGCTCCCAATATGCGTAAGCCTTGGGCGCCCATGACACTGTCACCAGTTCAGTGTTTGACCTCTTTTGGTAGGTACTAACCACTGCAGACTGGGAACACCCAACAAGACCTGAAAGTTGGGGGATGTTTTGACCCAGTTGTGCAGCAATTACAGTAGTGCTGCACAGGAAGCAGGCTTATACTCACATATCTGATTTTACGCCCAAGTTCACTTATTTGATAGCAGAGGACTTCTGCCATTGCCCTCATCTATCTCAAAGTAGCTTTTTTTGTTTTCTATTAGGGCTGGACCCAGTTATTCAATCATTTAGGTATTCTTTCATTGGGTAGGTCATCTGTTTTTAATTTTGGTATTTGAATATTCAAGAAAGCAAGAAATTTCTACGCAGTCTGAGTCTGACGAAGAAAAAAAACAGAACACAATGGAGGCAGCTTGGTCTGCTAGCTGATACAGATCAGATATTCAAAATCTAAATGGTCACTTTCCTGCCTGAAAAAATCTCAAAACTTAATAAATTAGCATAAGGCCAATCCTAGGATGAAATATTCAAAGTTCCCAGATCAATAAATCATAAGCAAAAAATAGTTAAAGCACAAATGATGCCTCTTTGCTGCAGTAAAGCAGACAGAAAATGGGCTACAACTAAATGTCAATCAAAACAAGTAGTTTTGAGGAAAATCATCTGCACAGTCGCTGTGAGATGATTGCGCAGGGACTGTATACAATCTGCAACACTGAAAAGAAGTACTGCAAAAATATCACATTTTTCCAAACTTCAGCGTCTGTACCCCCTTGGATGTTTTACCCTTTTTATTGATTTTTATAAATCAATCATGGTCAATATAATTTGGCTTTTTGGAAAAAAAAATTACAAAAACACCTCTTTAATGAGGCACAGTAATGTCAATTAAATAAAAGTATGTAATGTGAAATAAGTGATTGCATAAATATTCACCCCCTTCAAGTCAGTATTTAGTAGATGCACCTTTGGCTGCAGTCACAGCACTGAGTCTGTGGATGGGTCTCAGTGTGTCATATGCTTAGAGCTTTGCTCCTTGTTATTGTCAGCTAGTTTAGCACCATCAGTCAGACCAGCACAGGCTGCAATGTGCTTTTGATGGAAAGTTGTTGTCAGGATGTTACAAAGTCACTCTGAAGGATACTGCATATTGAATATAAGGGCCCCAAATTATAAATTGGTGTGACATTGACAGTGACATGAGTGCTACAGTAGGTAACATGCCAGATTTTCACAATAAAAGACCCCAATTGTAATTTAAGGTCACATGATGGCCCACAAACATGCCAGATTTTCAAAATAGAAACCTTATTAGTTGCATGAAGTTATCAGGCACTGCAGTGCAGATGATTTTCAAAATAAAAGCCTGCAGTTAGTTTCAGGAAGTGATCTGATTCTCTAAAATATGTCGGATGTTCCAAGTAAAAGCCCAGGATTTTGGAACTGAAGATTCCATAAAGGCCTGGTATTGTGGATAGTGATTTAAAATGCATGGTTTACATACTCATTTTGCACATGCATAATTGCACACACTCTGCATTATATTGTGTTCCTGTTCTATTTTTATTTACCTCCTTCACTTGCTGCTTTAAAGTGCCTTAGATTTGTGTTACTGCCTATTTAGATTTGTGTTATTGCTCATCTAATTTATATTTCACTTGTATTTTGTGGCATTCATGTGGACGGCAAAGTAAGAATTTCATTGTACAGGGAAACACGTTTCCTAACTGTGCATATGACAAATACACACTTTGACCTTTGGTAAACTTTATTTTGACAAATGTATCTTTTTTTAACAATTTAATTTAAACTATTTTATCCCTACTTCTCACTGTTTCAGCAATGCATTTGAGCTCTCAATTTGTTTAGAAAATAAGCTCCCTACTTCAGCTTTTCTTTTCATTATCCATAATTATTCAGTATTGCATCTCAGCCTTCAGCTGTGGATTTCACCTATTTCAGCATACTGGGCAATTCTTTAGCAATCAGCATTCACACGCAATTTCTTCAGGAAATGCCTTTGTCTATTGTTGTAGTGAGTTCTTGTGACAATAAAACATTAATAACTAATAACTTCATTATTCAAATGGATTACATTCATATAAGACACATCATCACTTGTTAGGGACAATACTCCATTGAGTAGTGTCGTGGCTAGAGTGTGATACCGACTAAATTAATTCAGACAAACCATTACAATTTAAAGGATCATTTAATATTACAATTATTCTGAATAGAGTAGTATTTAAACACATAATCTTGTAGTTAGGGAACAGAGAACAGAGATCAGAGAACAGAGACTCTCCTCTTGCAATGGAATAGATAAAGCATAAGAAGATTGTCAGAAGCACCAGTCAGTCAGGTCATTTGTTGTCAGTCCCGAGTTGGTTCCCCTGTCAGCCCCAGTCAGTCGTCGTCTCCCCCCGGCCCTCCGAGGCCGGGCTGGTGGTACACTGTTCACGGTAGCATGGTCATCCTCTCTCTCTCAGGTTCACTCCTTTATCAGCTCGGCAGATGACTATATACAGTGCCTTGCGAAAGTATTCGGCCCCCTTGAACTTTGCGACCTTTTGCCACATTTCAGGCTTCAAACATAAAGATATAAAACTGTAATTTTTTGTGAAGAATCAACAACAAGTGGGACACAATCATGAAGTGGAACGAAATTTATTGGATATTTCAAACTTTTTTAACAAATAAAAAACTGAAAAATTGGGCGTGCAAAATTATTCAGCCCCCTTAAGTTAATACTTTGTAGCGCCACCTTTTGCTGCGATTACAGCTGTAAGTCACTTGGGGTATGTCTCTATCAGTTTTGCACATCAAGAGACTTAAATTTTGCCCATTCCTCCTTGCAAAACAGCTCGAGCTCAGTGAGGTTGGATGGAGAGCATTTGTGAACAGCAGTTTTCAGTTCTGTCCACAGATTCTCGATTGGATTCAGGTCTGGACTTTGACTTGGCCATTCTAACACCTGGATATGTTTATGTGTGAACCATTCCATTGTAGATTTTGCTTTATGTTTTGGATCATTGTCTTGTTGGAAGACAAAGCTCCGTCCCAGTCTCAGGTCTTTTGCAGACTCCATCAGGTTTCCTTCCAGAATGGTCCTGTATTTGGCTCCATCCATCTTCCCATCAATTTTAACCATCTTCCCGGTCCCTGCTGAAGAAAAGCAGGCCCAAACCATGATGCTGCCACCACCATGTTTGACAGTGGGGATGGTGTGTTCAGGGTGATGAGCTGTGTTGCTTTTACGCCAAACATAACGTTTTGCATTGTTGCCAAAAAGTTCGATTTTGGTTTCATCTGACCAGAGCACCTTCTTCCACATGTTTGGTGTGTCTCCCAGGTGGCTTGTGGCAAACTTTAAACGACACTTTTTATGGATATCTTTAAGAAATGGCTTTCTTCTTGCCACTCTTCCATAAAGGCCAGATTTGTGCAGTATACGACTGATTGTTGTCCTATGGACAGAGTCTCCCACCTCAGCTGTAGATCTCTGCAGTTCATCCAGAGTGATCATGGGCCTCTTGGCTGCATCTCTGATCAGTCTTCTCCTTGTATGAGCTGAAAGTTTAGAGGGACGGCCAGGTCTTGGTAGATTTGCAGTGGTCTGATACTCCTTCCATTTCAATATTATCGCTTGCACAGTGCTCCTTGGGATGTTTAAAGCTTGGGAAATCTTTTTGTATCCAAATCCGGCTTTAAACTTCTCCACAACAGTATCTCGGACCTGCCTGGTGTGTTCCTTGTTCTTCATGATGCTCTCTGCGCTTTAAACAGACCTCTGAGACTATCACAGTGCAGGTGCATTTATACGGAGACTTGATTACACACAGGTGGATTCTATTTATCATCATTAGTCATTTAGGTCAACATTGGATCATTCAGAGATCCTCACTGAACCCCCCTATAGTTGGAACACCCCCTCCGGTCCCCCTTCTTAAAAAGAGGGACCACCACCCCGGTCTGCCAGTCCAGAGGCACTGTCCCCCTACCCTGTACTGGAAAACAGGAAGCTTGACTCCCAGTGTTCTGGTCGCGGCCCTCACAAAATTCTTAGAACTATGCTAATAAGTATTAACTATATTAAGTTTGCTTTTACCACTCGGAGATGTACTTCGAAAACAGGAAACAGCTTGACCACTTACATAAGCCCCTTGTCCAACTCACATGAACTTAATGAACCCATAACCACTCAGCTCTCCCTCACACAAGCTAATAACAAATAATGTCTATATGAACTACATGTTCTATATGTTCTATTACATATTACTTCTGGAATCTGGTTTATTGCTAACCACTACAGTAGTCTCTGATTTCACCGGACAGGTCAAACTGCACACGTTTGTCAGATGGTGGTGGTGTTGATTCACATTCAAATGAACTTTTAATCCCATAACATCCATCCATCCATTTTCTTATGCTTATCCGGAACCGGGTCGCAGGGGCAGCAGTCTAAGCAAAGATGCCCAGACTTCCCTCTCTCCAGACACTTCCTCCAGCTCCT